TTTTTGGTTGTGATGAGAATAAACATAAATTTCAATATTGAAATTCACCTTTTCTATATAGATAATCTTTGAGTGAAAATATACAAACTTTTGCTTTAATTTTAAATGCAAATATGTTTTTCAAATTGTGATAGTTGTCATTTTCAATGTACAAATGTATTGCCAAATGCATGAAAAACTGAATCAAAGTGCATCATGTCTCAAAATGGCATTTATAATGCAAACAAACATAACCTAAGACTCGGATCAGATACAAAACTGGAATAGTTGGAGCTGAACAATTGTCCTCTGTAAAAGTTGAACAGTTCAACGGTGAATGAGCCCATCCTTGGGGCTGAACAATTCTGATATCAAGCAAGGTAGTGTTGTGTTAGACTGTTAGTGAACTCATCCCCTGAAGCCATCCCTGAAAAGAGAATATAGTTTTCTTAGATTTAAAACGGGGGAGTTCTTTTTTCAATCTTTGCATTTCTTAGATTGGATCAAATTTGAATATACAACATCCTTAACAGATTCAGATTCAAATCATCATTTTGTGAAATCTGATCAAATCTTGAATATCTGTTATCAGATCGGATTCAGACATACTCTGATTAGAATCTAATTTGATCCGTTTGCATCCCTGTTTAAATGACAAAAGAAAGAAAACTGTCAATTTATTTAAAACCATAAGGTAGTTGTTTTAATCAAAATACAAGGGAGATTTTTATGATTGTTAGAAAACTCAAGTAAGGTCTTTAAATTTTACCCCAAATATGAATCAACCGAAAGACAATCAAATCCCTCAAACCCCAAAGACCAAGTTGGTCCCTACTATTAAATATTAATTGATTAAATGTTTTTTCATAATTAATTAATATTCATTAAATATTGAAAGTTTTAATGAAGACAACTACACTCCACCAAACCCCAAAAATAAAAATAATAAGTGAAGATAAGCTAGACTATTAACACGAAACTTGAAAGAATGGATCAAGGAAGCCTGACAGGACGCCAAGGAATTTCAACATAATCCCCAACTGTTATTAGTCCAAAGATTTTTGGTATTGGTAAAAACAAGGGGAAATTCCCAATTAGTACTCAGTATTTTGGGTATAATGCCACTTTAGTGCTCAAATTTTAAAATGCAATAATTCAGTATTCGAATTTTTAAAATGCGACAATCTAGTATTCGTCGTTAATTAATAGTTAATCAGCCGTTAAGTGACATTTTAAAAAGATGTAAATATACTTCGAGTGTCATCTAATTTTTTTTATTGACCATTCAAACATTAATAAAAAAATTAATATTTTAAAATCCTTGCATCTTCTATTCAAGAAAGTTAAGATCATTAGAATGTTCACTTAAACGTAATCCTAACTTTCTTGAATGGAAGAAGCAAGGATTTAGGACTGTTAATTTTTTTATCAACGTTTAGATGGTTGATAAAGAGAATTAAATGACACTTGAAGGGTATTTGTATCCTTTTCAAATATAACATAACGACAGGTTAACTGCTGATTAATGATAGGTAATCACACTTTAAAAGTTTAGATACTGAATTGTCACATTTTAAAGTTCAGAAACTAAAATGGCATTAGGCACAAAGTATGGAAATTTTTCCTAAAAATAAAATACATCAAGAAAAGGGGAATTTATGATTTATTCCCCTCAAAATTTTTTTATTGTTGATAGATGACAACTCCAAGGGATGAGAATCTTGCCAAGTAATTAGAAATAAAGCGACCCCAATTAAATGTGAACACATCAAACACAGTTGATGTAATGTTTTGCCTTTTGTTTCAAATTTATGGCACTAATCACGTAGTATCCATCTATTATCTAACACATGAAAATCCCTCCTAAGTCCTTTTCGTTTGAAAATGAGAAAAACCCTCTCAAATGGACCGGATTTGGTCCAATACAAGTCCATTATAAATAATTCAGGTCTAACTTAATTTGATGAATATTCTGGAGTGGTCTAATTCAATGTTTAGATCATCTAATTTGTTCAAATTGATTTACTTTAGATTAATTTCAACCCAAATTTGTTCCATTGACACATGTATTTTTAAGGGATCAAATATTGGTTCAATCTGATCCAATCTAATATAAAATTACTATAGATAAACCAGGTCCAATCCAATTCAATAAATACTTCAGAATTTGGACCAAGGATAAAAAAAAAAAAAAAAAAATCGCAATGCATCAATGCATATTGGCCGACCCCTTGATACACCCCTATGCTATTACAGGTGTTTCAGGGTTTGACAGGCCGATACATATTTAGAACCTTATTTTAAACCATTAAGTCTGAACTGATCTAATTTAATGTCTTATTAGTCCGTCCAATCCATCTAAATTGATCTTGATTTGGACAGGTCCAAGGATCCCCTTGCTGTTTCAATCCAAAACCACCCTTTGTACTGGGCCTTTCTTGTTTCCAATTTATGATGCTCTGTTCCCACCATGAAATTATGTGCCTTTCTCTATTGCTTTTTAAAACGAATAAAGACCTTTTCCACTAATAAAAGAAGAAGAAAGACATTGTAGCTAGTCACCTACTCAACCATCAATTTTTTTCAACCGTAATTTTCTACCTATCGTACATCATGGTCATCTCTCTCTGGTTCAATAGCCTTTGTAAGTTTTACATGAAACGAAATCGTTCTTTTGTTACGTTTTTCATAGTGTTTTGTATCCATGGATTCATTTCGCCTTGTCAAGAGAAAATTTGGAAAATGATTTCAGTCTCTTTAAATAATGGGAATGATTAAATTCTAAATTTTTAATGATTATCCATGACTAGCTGTCCATTAAGGGGGCGTTCTTTTTTTTTTTGGATTTTGAGATTAGGGAAAATTGGTCAATGGGAACCAAAGAATCCCATGTTCATTTTTCAAACTTATGTAGGGATTAGAGAAAGTTTATTTTCTTAGGAATCACTTACCCTTATCTCCTGGGGAAAGTTGCTAATACTTGAATGGGACTAAAACGTGCCTTTTAATAATGGATATCAATGACTAAAATGGTCATAGCCTTATTTACCTGGAAAATAAAAGAACATGCATAAATGCACTTACCCAGATAAGTGTTTCTTAAAAAAAACTTAACCTGGATAAATAATTTACCGAAAAACAAACAGGGCCCAAGAGTCAACTTGCACTCTGAATTCTAAAAATGTAACTGACATGTGAACATGATCTCATTCAATTCATAAACAGAGACAAAACTTATGTTATCAAAATTTCCAATCAAAAGTTCGAACTTCCAAGCTCTTTATGGACATCGACCTAATCCTTCCAAATTACTTGATTATGATTATGATTATCAATCAAGTAACATTTGGCTCTGACCTGGATCATGATTGTAAATAAAAAAAATTGGTTCTTATCTAGTCTGGAGAAATGCATCAGGTAAGTAAAAGAATATATGATGTAGGGCTCGTTTGGTTTGCAAATTAGGGGTTTGGATAAATTGGGATTCTGATTTTCATTTCAGGTAGAATGATATTTCCCCATTTGGGAGATTATTCATTGTGATCTTTCCTAGGGATGCTTAACAAAAATCGAAAAAATAAATCAAATCAAGGAAATTAGACCAAAAAATCTGGTTAATCAAACCGATTGGTATATATATTTGTCTCTTTATAATAATTTATTTATAATATATTAAATAAATTATAAATTATTTATTTTATAATATAATATAATATCTTATATATATTTATAGTATTTATATTTTTTATAATATATATTGAACATGTAACAAATTGAGAAATTGACAAATCAAACCAGTCAAAAACCGAACCAATTAGTCAATTAACCGATTGGTTTTGGTTCAATTTTGGTTCCTGGTTTTTTTCAAAAATCAATGAAACCCTTTCAATTTTCAAAAATGAGCTTATAGTTATATTATCTAAACAGGTGAACATCCCTAACCCTAACCTCTCTTATTGGGAATGAGAATCTTATCACAATCACAGAAAAAATCTTTATTACGTCTTATGAACGATCCAAACGGACAGTTAGGTGTTAGACATTTGTCCCACCATTGTGGGAGCCAAATAAGCTCGGTTATCAATTATTGAATGTGTTTTGTCGTTTTTTATTAAATTAGTGAAACTTCCCCTAAAATTTCTGGTTGTTACAGAAATTTCCTTTGGAGTTTAATAAGTGCAATCAGCTCCCTATACTTTCTGACATAATTGCAAATAAATTCCCTTTGTTAAATCTTCTAAAAATAGGTATAAAAATACCCATACAGTGATACAGTTACTTTTTACCAAAATGTTTATTTTTCTATTTTCTCTTCATGCCCAAAGGGCCAAACCCTTCCGATATTTTTTTTTCTGAATTGATTTATTTTTTAAAATTATCCTTTATATTAATGGTCTATAAAGCTGCAATTTTAAAATTTCTATTTTTTTATTATTTATAATTTTGTATTGTTTTTCCGTAGAAATCAGACTTAATATAATAATTAAATTAATTAATATTTTAAACATTTTTATGCCTTTATTTAAAAAATTCTAATAGAGGGATTAACTTAAAACTGTATCAAAAAGTTTAAGAGAAATAATTGCAATTATCAAACTTCACCAGAGGCTTTAGCACCTGTAAAAAATTTCAGGGGATGATTACCTTTATGTTCAGGACAGGACATTACTAACATTTATATCACAGAAACAGCTGTGTCTCTCTTCAAACAGTTGACCACTAAACCTTCTCTTATCTATTTCTATTTAGACAAATAAATAAATCAGGATTCATGGAGCGTGTTGTGTGTGGTGTGGTGTGGTGTTGGACATATCTCGGCACTATCCCAACCATGTCGGAGAGATCGGAATCCAAGACAGAATCTTTAACCAGCAATAATCTGGGCTGATTGGTACTTCTCCCTAATCTAATACTCTACTTTCTTTCTTTTTCCTAATCTCTTGTTTACTCGAAAGTCAACATCCTGAATCAGAGTATTAATGTTTATTTAAATCTTTCTCCCACCGCCGACGAAATCTTCACACTGCTTTTCAAAACCACCCGTCTGAGTCCTGACAAATAAGATGGTTTCTCAAGTTTTGACACCGCGTAATTAGTTGTTTATTACTCACCTCACCTCTTTTTCTACACTTTTCCAGCTACTATAAATATTTTTTTCAGCTATCTGGGTTAATTGCGTTATTACTTAATCTCTTCAACAAATGCTCGTTCTTGCAAGGGCTAGACGTCATACTGTCATAGTCCCCACATAAAATATAGGTAGGGGCTTATTGCAGAGATATCCTTCTTTCATCCATTGCTCTGGGAACTGGGTTTATCCTGAAACTCGTTTGATCATGGCGGGAGGAGAAGGAGGAGCGTCTCAATCAAGGGAGCTTGATCAAACTCCCACATGGGCGGTAGCTGCTGTTTGCGCGGTTATTATTATAATTTCTATAGTGTTGGAGAAGGTTCTTCACAGGCTCGGCGAGGTTAGAATCAAGATACTCGGTTTTGCTTTGTATTTCTTGAATCACAATGACTTGCTTTTGAGAAAATTAGTTTGTCTTGACTCTTGGGTTTTATTTGGGCAAGTATGATTGGATTCGTGGGAGAGTTAAGAGTTGGATAGGTTGGTTTTTCCTCTTTTTCTCGTCTGTGGTTTTTATTTTGAACTCAATTTCTTTGGATTCTTCAGTTAGATTCTTCTTTCCTTCTCTTTTCCTTCTTTTGTCTGGAGAATGGAGAGCCAAAAGGGAAGTATCTCGTATCGGGTGGAGAGCTAAGGAAAATATTGACCATTATATCTCTCCTTATCTGTCTCTTCTGGTCCCTTCCTGGAACTACTTCATTGGGAGTTCCTTCTGTTGGGTTCGAATTATTTAACTGGTTGATAGGTGGTAGGAATGTTAACCAATATACTATAGATTTTCTTTTTCTTTTTTTAAGGAAATTTATTATTATTTTTATTTCAGTGGTTCACAGAAAGACGTAAGAATGCACTGTTTGAAGCTCTTGAGAAGGTCAAAGCTGGTAAGAACACAAAATATGAGTTCTCAATAGTAATAGCTCACAAAAGAGAAAACAGAAAATGAGAATGATAAAAAAAACTTCAAACTCATTTCGTTGCTTTTATCCATATATCATTCTCGTTCTTTAATTAACCCTTTTGTTTTGTACTTTTGTTCAGAGCTTATGGTTCTAGGTTTCATTTCCTTGCTCCTGACATTCTGTCAGAGCTACATTGTTAAAATATGTATTCCAGAGAAGATTACGCGCAAAATGTTACCTTGCCCATATAGACCATCAAATACTGAAGAAGAAGATCACCGGAGGCTTCTATGGAATGAGCGCAGATTCTTATCCACTGCTAGTAAAGCTTCTAAATGCAAGGAGGTATGTGTATTAGATGGCACCCAATTTTAATATATTACTCTTTGTAAAGTGACGAATTAAGGCCATTTGGTACTGTTGTTTAGTGTTTCAAGTTATCAACAGCTAACAAAATCATCTTTTTTTTTTTTGAAAGCAACATATTCATGTGGTTTACCTTGTTCATAAGTCAAATTTCAGAAGTGCATCCCTCCTGTAATTCTCAGTCTTGAGTTCCCAAACTTTCTACGCCTCAATTAGGTAACTCAATAATTTTATATCTCTGAGATTCTCTTCTTCTAGACTGATACATGGGATAGAAAAATAACAGAACCTATTAACTTGTTCACTATTTTCAAAAACTTCTGTTCTAAACTGAATGCAGTAATTCCTGGAAAATCAGGTGTGATGATTAGTACATTTCCCCAGATTGAGGCAGCTCATCAATTAATTCACTTTACTCCTTTCCTTACACATTATGAGTAAATTCATTGATGGAGATCTGGTTGTTTTTGTTCTCCATTGATAACAAAGGATATAACGTCACCCTTCAAATTAGTGAAAATTTTACACCATGAAGTGTTAGAGTGATTCTAGGCATCCTTAGGACTATCATCTTGGCCACTTCTTAGCATCTAAAACCATTCAAAACATACCTTGGGATTAATGAGTAGAATGCACAGGCGCCAGGAAACATTTAGATAGCTTAAGCTGCTAGAGACTGGCCAAAAGTGATGGTTATTTGGGGTATATTTCCCTCTTGTGAATTTCGACCTTCCTGTGTATCTGATGCATAGGAAACACAAATTTTGTGCATCCAATCACCAAATCTCAAGCCATAAGGCTATGCCATGAAAGGTTGTCAAACGGTAGAGCATTGCTATTATTGTTGACTTCCCATTTTTCTAACTTTTTTATGACCATTTACTGTGCCTTTTATTTGAATACCTTCCCATGCTTTCATTATTATGCATGCAAGTATATCATTCCAATTGATAATCAGTTTTCTTTCTGGTAACAGGGTTATGAGCCACTTATTTCTCTAAATGGACTACATCAATTGCACATCTTTATATTCTTTTTAGCCGTCTTTCATGTGCTCTATAGTGCTACAACAATGATGCTTGGGAGACTAAAGGTGGGTTAAGCGTAGGTGCTTTTATCTTTTTTCTTATTATTCTTAAAACTTAAACAATCTGTACACATTATATTACCAGCAAGGTATATGGTATACAAGTACAACTGGTGGAAACTTGCTGTTTGGTGGGTCTAGTTGATTAATATGCTTGGAAGATCATAATTGTTTAACTTATCACATTCTTTTGGTTTGGTTGGTTGAAACATTTGGTAGTTGGGCCAGGAACAGTGTTATATTTCAGAGAAGTTGCCAATTAAGAAAACATTTGGTAATTGGTCCATAAGGCTGCAATAACCTTAGCCTTGGAACCAGAAAATCTTGATTTGAAGGGTCTCACTGAGGACCATACTTAATGAGGAAACATGCTAATTAGATCACACGAGTTCATTCAATCACATTCCTTTGGATGATAAAAAATTGAGCAATTTTAGTAGGCAGCACTTTGTGCGTCCCCATGATTTCTGCATGTTGCTGAAATATGCAAGTGCCATCATATCTGTACAATGAAATCAGGAGTAATGCATATGCCATTGCCTGTTAGAATTCCTCTGAAAAAAAATCTCTTATCAGTCATTAAGTTAAAATAATTTTTGTTTTGAACAGTGCTGTCAGACTCAGATAGGACCTGACTGTTTAACCCTTTGGATCACAATCTAGTGGCGAAAAAATTGTTTCTGAAACACCTAATTTTCCAAAATGTTAAAAAATGTTGACTTGGTTAAATGGTAAAATCTCAGTCTGGTAAACGTGAGAATGAAGGTTGATTTGAGAGAGGCCTGTATCCAGTTTACCCCTCCACCCTCCCAAGGCCCCAGATATCTGGGAGCCTGGGACCAACATTGGGTAATGACCTTTTTTTATTTCAGTAAATTGGGAACTCAGCTCAGATGGTTGGATAGTTTAATCATTGACCTGATAAGCCTTGTCTGCTCCAAGCTTGAAAATATTGATTTTAGACCTTGGAGATGTTGTAGGTGGCTCCATGAAATTGAATAGTGGGTTCAGTATTCCAGCACTTCATGTGTGCCAACATGTTTTCACAAAGGCCATCTCTGTGCCAGATCATTGAATTCACAAAAGCCAGGCTCCCCTTTGACTCAGGAGACATAATTTGAAGTCTTGTTTTAACTTAGATGCCTACTACCAGCTTGATTTGGGACTCTGGGTTTGGCACCCATCAACCAGGAACTTCTGCACAAGTCCATTGGGATAACATCCATGTATCTTGATTATTATTTGATATGAATGCATTAAAATATTAAGTTGCATTAATTTCTATATCCAAGACCGCATTTGTCATTTGCCCTTGAAATTTTTTAAACCTTTTGGTTACTGATGGAATTCCATATGCAGATACGTGGATGGAAGGCGTGGGAGAGGGAGACACAATCTCTTAACTATGAATTTCATTATGGTACTCTGCTGCATAGCAAAATATTTTATTTCACTTTAATTTAAAAGTTGGTAGCCATTAATTCTCTTGGCCTTGAAAAGCAATTTTTTTTACATCATATTTACGTTTTTATATAATTCCTCAGAAGCTGAACAAGATATATCCTTATAATGCAGATCCCTCAAGATTCAGGCTTACTCATGAGACGTCTTTTGTCAGAGCACACACCAACTTCTGGACTAGGATTCCTTTTTTCTTTGTTTTTGTAAGTTTTTTTTTTTTTATTGAAAGTTTTTATATTTCTCTTCTCTGCAAAAAAGAAATTGGTATAAGTGTTTTGTATTTTTTTTTCTATGGAAACCATGAGATTTTATATAGCTATACTCATGGGGTTGCCAATGAGGAAATATAAGTATTTTATATTTCCTTTTTCTTCGTCTATTTCTTTCTTTGGTGAAAGAGGAAAGAATAGAATTCTTATGTACCTTACAGTTTATAATGTGCTCGAAATTAAAAGTAATGTCTAAATCATCTTACGATGCACCCTAAAATCTATAGTGATAGCCACATGGACAAGGATATAGGAAGAAGGTTGGGGGGGTGGCATGACTCCTATTTCCTAAGATCCTTATCATGAATATTGGTATAAGGTTAAGTTTGGGAGTGCTTATTCGAATAAGCACTTATTTGCATTTGGCACCCAGCTTTTTCAAGTGCTTATTTTAAAAAATAAGAACTTATTTTATAGTAGGTGTTTGGTGGTCTATTTCTCCAATAACCACTTATTCATTTAAAAAGTCAATTTTAACCCAAGGGGCAAAATCACAGAAATTGAGTCAACATTCACAGCAAAAAAGTAATAGTGAGATTCGGAGAAACAAATCCAAGGAAAAAAACAGAAGTTTAGAGAGGACTTCATCAACCTGGATGCAGATCCAACTTTGAGCTTGGAAAATCCCAAACCTGGAACAGAGAAAAAAACATCTTATTAGGGCTGGTTTGAAGAACAAAACGAAAAAAAAAAACACTTTACCTGGTTAACCAGTTGATGATGAGAAAATGAAAAAAAAAACAAAAAGATAGGATACCTTACCAGGTTGATTGGTTCGAGCTGCAGTTCTGCCGCTGGTCTTTGGAGAAGATGATGGAAAGGAAACTATTGAATCTGGGGCTGGTTCAAAGAACAAAATGAAAAAAAAAAACCAAAAAAACACTTTACTTGGTTGATCGTTTGAGGATGAGAAAACGGAAAAATGAAAAGAGAAGATACCTTACCTGGTTGATCGGTCAAGTTGCAGTTCCACCGCTAGTGGAGAAGACAATGGAGAAGAAACTATCAAAGAGCCAAACCCTATGATTTTGGTCTATCAAAGGGCAAGTGGCATTTGGAAATCTAACCAGGGAGTCTTGTTCTCTCCTTCGCTCTTTAGATGGCCTAAGAAAAGAGGGAAGGTTACATGGAGAAGCATTAGGGCGGCAGTTTGCTGGTTCGTATGGGAAGAGAGAAACTCACGAATCTTTTCAGACAAGGAAAGAACCACGGAAAATTTACTAGAACTGATACACTTAAGGGTAGCTCACTGGCTGAAATCTATGGAGCTATTCTCAGAATTTTCCATGGCCAACTTATTGAGAAAGTGGAAAGAGATAGCTACCTCTGCCCATTGTAAGAGAACTTCTAGGCCCTCTTGGTCCCCCCTTCTGGATTCATAAAACTGAATTTTGATGGTAGCTGAAGGAATCCAGGGTCTTCTGGCATTGGGGGCATGTTCAGGAATGAGGATGGGATTGTTACTGCTATGTTCTCAGGCCCAATTGGAGAGGGTGACTCTCTTAGGGCTGAGATTCTAGCAGTTCTAGAAGGAATCCAAAGAGCAAGAGAATTAAACATCAGATGCTTGGTTCTTGAAGGGGACTCGGAGGTGGTGATTAGGTGGCTGAAAGGAGACAACAGTGGTTTGTGGAGCTACAACAATGAAAAGAAAAAAATTAAATGGCCAAGTAGGGATATTGAGGTGAAGTACAGCTGGGTGAAGAGAAGTGCTAACTCAATGGCTGATGGGTTAGCTAAGCAAGGGGCATTTAAGGAATCTCTGTTTTGGGCTAATTTTTAGCTTCTTTCTTTGTCCTTTTGTTGTAGGGGAGTTAAGATAGTTTACCTCCCCCTTTCTGTAATTAAAGTTTCACAAATCTTATTCATTAATAAAGCTTATTGTTATTGATCAAAAAAATCTAACCAGGGAGTATTTTGAAATCAAAATTTTGAATAAGTTCTTATTGTATAAGCACTTAAAAATAGCTGGAATTTTGGGCTTCTTCAATAAGTACTTATTTTTAAATTAATCACTTATTTCGGACTTATTTCCAAAACACCAATAAGTGCTTATTACTGTGGTCCCTGCCCAAAATAAGTGCTTATTCGAATAAGCATTTATTTTTAAGCACTCCCAAGCTTGGCCTAAGTCAATGTTATCAAAGTTTTAACTAGTCAATTGAGGGCCACACCAACCGCTTCACTAACTAATTGGTTGATACTCATGGTGCAGTTTCTTAAGACAACTATGCATCAACTAAAACTATTAGTCAACTAATGACTAGTCTAGTTGATCTAGTCAAACATAAAGTTAAAAAAAAAAAAACTTTATCTCTAATTATTTAAGATAGTAACTTACATGCTTTTATTTGGTATATTCATGAAACTGCTTTAAGCATCTTTATTGTACATGATTGGTTAGTGGCATATAAATACAAAGAAAACATATAAAACAAGAAGATGGTGGAAGAATTCTTTTACCAAAAAACAGAGTTCTTTTCAATTTTCTTCCAAACAGTGGTATGCTGGTATGGAGTTGCCATAGACAAAGCGGTAAATGAATAACCAAGGTTGCACTCTTTCTTTTAAAGGGCTTTCTTGTAAAGAAAAGGCTATAACCCTCTATCCTAGCCTGTCCAACCTTCTTTTTCTATGTTTTCTAAACAAAGATTGTAAATTAAACTACCAAATTTAATTAAACTTGTAACTTCTACACATTTGTTGTAGTATAACTTTTTAAAACATATATTTTTACATGTAGTATTACTTATATATACTCTAGAAGTGTCCATGAAGCATCTACTGCTGTATTGGGCACACATTGTGTTCAACACTGGTATGCTACACATATACAGGTATCCAGATATCATGACCTAAATTTATTATTAGGAACATTCACCAGTGGATATGTTACCTGACTGGTGGTTCTTTCCAAGTTGAAACGCACAATAGTGCAAAATGATGTGCTTTTCAAACCAAAAATTAATAAAAGCTATTTTCATATTTATCTCATGAGGGTGGAAATGATAAGCTCCAAAAGTGTACACAAACTAGGGGCATTGTCTTCTAGATGAAGTATGATATCATATCAAGAGTTTAAGCAAATCTTTGTAGTATTACAAGGTTACCTACCCAAAAGAAGGTTCCCACATTAATCATGTTAGGTGAGTCCCTTTTTCTGTTAGCAGAAAAGATGAAGACTTGCTGCTGATTCATGCATACCCCTTCTTCACACTCGCACTTGCAGAAGAAAGGCAACAGCAAAGGCCTGGAAAATAACCAGTGTCATCAGCTTGCTTTTACATCCCTAGTGAGCTATAGCAAAAATTTTAGATTACTATGATTCTCATAAATTAGCCATCATTTGCAGGTATGCTTTTTTCGGCATTTTTTCAGATCTGTTCGTAAGGCAGATTATTTGACATTACGTCATGGATTCATATCAGTAAGTTGACCTTTTTTATTCTTCAGCATCCCATCACATAAACATATATTAAATTGATTTATTTTATTCTTATAGATTCTTACTTTTATTCTTATAGGTTCATTTAGCTCCTGGAAGTAAGTTTGACTTCCAAAAATATATAAAAAGGTCATTAGAAGATGATTTCAAGGTAGTCGTGGGAATCAGGTAAAATGTTATTTATTTCAAAATACTCTTGCATACAACATGTGATGTGGCACAATTCCTGTGAGGAAGAAAAGTGCTACCTTGATATAGGAATTGTAGCGTTTCTAGTAGGGTTTGAACAGAAATGTTAGAAATGTTAAGAAAAAAGATGAAGAGAGGAAGAAATGGGATACATAAAGAAGGAAGAACCCTAATCCAAGGTGTAGAGAACACTAATGTGGACCCCACTGGTGTGGTCCACACTATGTTCGTATGACAGCAATTAGTTATGTTAGTTTTAGTTTATTTTAGATTTATCTTATCTTATCTTATTTCGTTATTATCTTGCCATGTAAGCAATAAGGGTAACTCAGCCTTTTGCCCTTCTTGTAATCCTTTTACAATTAAGACATTATGAATATAAATTTAAAGAGGGGGGCGGCTGTTTACACCACACCAACTACTCTCTCTTTTCTCAAACCTCTCTACGAGTTCTCCCTCTCCCTCTCTCTTCTTCTCCTCTCCTCTTCTCTTCTCCTTTTCTTTTATTTTTTTCTGTTCAAAACCTAAGGCTATTTGTAATCTTGTATGACTACTCAAGGATTGCTGGAAGTACACAGACAACTTAAAGATGCAGAGGTTTCATGCTCACACACTGAAACACATATACACACAGTTTTCACATGGAAACAATGTTTTAAAAACTGACTCGGAGGCCGAACTGTTTTTGCCTCTGGGTCGCAGGTCACTGGTTCAACTGTCCAGGTTGAATGGGTCAGACTGTGCCACATCAGCAATATGTAAATTCATACATATATGTATATATGTGTATAGGTATGTATCAACATGTATTTTATCAATAAATAATGTGTAATTATGTTCTACATGTAATATATGTATTATTTTATATTTAATTTATGTTTTTTAATTAAGTTTTTTATTTTTTGTTAGTAAAAAATATTAACAATTGCAATTTGAGGCCAAAAAGGGCTTTTTTTTGGAGAAAATAGCGGGGTAAGGTGCCTATGGCTCCTTGGGACACATGGATCTCAAAAAAGTTACTCAAAATTGAAAAAAAAAGATCACCTCAATTGGACATTAGAGCACAAACTTAAGGCCTCCCAAAGTTTGCATACACATTTAGTTTGCAACCCGTGACCCGGTCACCAGGTCGAATGGGTCAACGGTCCAACTGTCTGGATCAGACGGTTTTTTACCATAGTTTTACTAAAACCAGGCCCAGAATCTTGTCCAGGTGACGGTTCGAACATGCAACCAGCCGGGTCAATGGCGAGTTGAAGTTGCTGCATGGAAATAGCAAAAGATTAAAAAAGATCAACGATGCTTCTAGAAATGGAAGAAAATACAAAGAGAATGAGAAAAAATTGAGGGAGGCTGTTGATATCTATACATAGGAGGAAGTTTCCCTTCACAAGGAAGTAGCTAATGATAAGAAAAATCCTAACTTACCTTCGAATGATGCTTCTAGACAAAGGATGAAAATAAAAAGAGAACAAGAAAAAAAATCTAATTGGGTGCAAATAGTAGTCCTTAATTCTCTCTAATGATGGGATAGTTGGATGGTGACTGAATTAGTAGGCCCAATGGCTTTAGCTTGTGGGATTAAATGAAATTGGACTTATAGTTTTTGGATGGCAAAACATGCCCTTTCATATCAATATATGTAGATGAAAATAGTCCTTTATTACCCCTGTGGTCTTGGTGTACTGGTAAAAAAAAACCCCTATCTTCATGCTCTGACTTTAGTTCTCTGTGGTGTCTGCAGTCCACTTCTATGGGCTTCACTTGTGGTCTTTTTGCTTCTGAATGTTAGTGGTGAGTTCTACATAAATCCCTTCTTTATTTTGAAATCAACGAACAAACAGGATGTTATGGTGCAATAACAGAGTGGTGGATGTTGTTTTGGAGTTTATGCAATGAAGGTGCATATACTGAAACAAACACCTTGGTCATTTGTCGATTAGTGGGCATTTGTTGATGTGCACCACTAAGGAACATCATGCTAGCACTCCCCTTATATTTGATATGCTCTAATATGTATTCAAATGGAGTTCGGTACTGTTTACATATTCGTTTTATCACTTTCAGGATGGAGGACATTATTTTGGGTGTCCATAATTCCTCTAATTGTAAGAAATCTTGGCACTAATTGCTAGATCATTACCATTTTCTTGGTTATGTGATTAAGAAATTCTGGATGTCATGTTCATTCCAGATAATCTTGGCAGTTGGAACAAAACTTCAAGCAATTATAACAACTATGGCTCTTGAAATCCAAGAAAGACATGCAGTGGTTCAAGGGATTCCTCTTGTGAAAGTCAGCGACAAACACTTCTGGTTTAATCGGCCTCAATTAGTTCTGTATCTAATCCATTTTGTTATGTTTCAGGTACTGGGTGTTTCTTTCCTTTCATGGATGATATGATTGTGGGCCTGTTTGAAAATGGCTGAACTGAATGACTTATTGCACTTCTTTTGTGGATAAAATAATTAAATAATAAAATATTTATTGAGTGATAAGGTTTAAGGATCTTGAAGCGAATATGAATCTGGGGTTTTCTCAAATATTAGGAACTGAGATTTAATATAAAAAATTTGAAGACAGCATAAGAAACTTTATGCTGGTTGATGGGTGGTGGTTTAAAAAAAAAGGATCTTAAGGTCTAAGATGATGCACAGAAGTAGATAGTCTGATTGAAGGACTGGGTGATGAAAATCTTAGGTGATAAAATCTGTATTAGCAATGATATATAACTTATTCACCTGAAAGAAGGAAGAATTCAGATTTGCTTTCCAATTCTACTCTTACTACTTCCAACCTTCAACCAATACCTATTTTGCCCTTCACTTTAATGAATTGGTAGTTCTAGGAACCCACCTGAACAAGGTATTTGGGTGTGCAGCTGTTGCTCTAGCCTCCACTATTCGAGATCGAGACTAAAAATGCCTTGTCAACAATATGGGGTTGTTGGCTACATGAATCCTATATTCACTGTTCTGGATATGAACTGACTTATACTAATAAAAAGAAAAAACAAATCGCTGACTAAAGTATACTAAAGAAAGCTCCAGGTAGAAGAGTTCTTTGCAAGTTACAACCCAGGAGGACAGATTGAGACTAAAAAGGCCTGCTTTGTCCATGAGAACCAGGCCTTAAAAATCAAAAAACATACTCTGCCCTAGCATCACCTCCCATGTTAGTAGATTCATCTGCAACCTTATTGTTTACTCTGTTACACTGGCATCTGGACCTGAAGACAATAATGCAATTCCATCCACTGGGGAGTTATTAATAGGAACCTAAGTATTACTGTGTAGGATGCCTGATACCTCCTGCTGAATTTCATTGTCTCAGATGATTAGTCATATGATAGGAGTCAACTTTGCCTAGGGAATCTTCATCAGGAGTGGATCTAAGTCATTATCCATGTAACATTTATATTCCATGTGAATGGTTTGGGAAAGTACGCTGCCTATGTTACCCACATACACGGCAAGGACATAGCACTGGATACATAGTTTACCTTAAAAATTGGAGTATCTGAAATAATAGAGCACCAATGTACAGGCATCTAGTATCATAGGAGGAGGCTAAGTTAACATAAAAAAGAGGCAACTAAATTTTGTCCTCCATCCCTGGTGCAACTATTTGTTGTTTATTTAATCATTTTATAAATTTGTATTCATTATGTTTTGAGATGTGTAGATTGATTTACTTGTATTTTTTTTCACAGAATGCATTCCAAATAACATATTTCCTTTGGATATGGGTAAGAAACTGTTCTACTTATCATCTCTTGCACTTTTTTCTAGTTTTATGTTATTTACATCTAATGCCAAAGCCTTGGTGCAGTATGAATTTGGCTTGAAATCTTGCTTTCATGAGAACTTCACGCTTATAATCATACGAGTTTCAATGGGGTAAGCTTTAATATCCATATTTGGTTCATACATAAAACTAGACCTGTTCATGGGCTGGGCTGAGCCGGGTTCAGGCTAGGCTTTGCCTCTTTATTAACAGAGAATTCCGGGCCTGAGCCAGAGCCTGGCCCTTGTATAGAGCCTGAAGCCCAGTCTGAATAGGAATAAGCAAACTTTATTATATTATTAATATATTTTTATTATAGCAAGGTGCCTATTGGCTGGTTGGTAAGGTCTCCTGCTGGTTGTAGTGGAGACTTGGGATCCAATCCCGCCTGCACCTGGGTTGGGAGGGTTTATGGGTTTGAGGGATGGGCTAAACCCAAGCCCAGCCTAAAAAATAATTGGGCCTGATACTTATACCCTGAGCTCAAGCCTGTTGGCCTAAAATTTATGCTTGAGCCTGAGCCCACAGGCAAGCCCATCGGGCTACCCAGGCCCAGCCCATGAATAGGTCTACATAGGAGATAGGACTAATTGACTGATGAGGACATCTGGGAAATAGTTACTTGAGTCATGATATTCGCCATCTTACCTTGTATAAGTGGCATGCATATACTGTTGGTAGGGGGTATCTACCACTTGGTGTAATATCAAGTGGTCATGCTTCGACAACAGCTTTAGTGTCTTCTTATTTACTTGCTCAACCACCATTTATTTTAAGCTTTTAAATTTATTAATTAATTATTTGGTGAATTCCATTGGCATGGTGCAGGGTTGGAGTCCAATTCTTGTGTAGCTACATTACACTTCCCCTCTATGCACTAGTAACTCAGGTATCCTGTTTACTCAGGTGATCTGTCACATTAAATAGGCAACCCATTAAGTTGAAGAAGCAAGTTCTTTTCAGTCTAAGGGAATCTAACCTAGATATGCTTCTGGAAGTAGAAACAGAGCTGCCAGTTTGATGAAAGCATAAATACCAATCTTAAGTGTTTTTTTCACTTTCAAGTAATCTCACTGTAGAACGGCACTTAAGCTTTCCTTCTGTTCAATCCTAAAAATGGATTGATATTTCATTGTGTTGCTTTTTGTGTCTGTCTTTTGCATGTGTATGCGCAGGCATGTGCATGTTGTGTTGAAACTTGAAACCAATGGATGTAATGATAATTATTTATGGTGGACGTTTGCAGATGGGATCAACCATGAAGAAGTCTGTCTTTGATGAGCAGACATCGAAGGCCATTAAGAAGTGGCGTATGGCTGCCATGAAAAAGAAGCACGAGAAAAGGACGGGGCATTCCCCTACAAGAAGTGTGGGAAGTGGCCCGAGTGCCTCACCTGTGCAATCCCCACCCCACCCACTTCAACGTTTCAAGACTACTGGGCACTCAACACGCTCATCTACATATAGTATGAGAAATTCTGAAGATGACATGTCAGACAATGAAGCAGATGCACCGTCACCCACATCAGTCACAGAAAACCCACCCCTGATGGCGAATGTTGGTAGACAATCTAGAACAAGGGAATACCCCCGCCATGAATATGATGATGGTCAAAAACATGATGAAGATGACTTCTCATTTGCTAAGCCAGACCTATTAACTGGACCTTGACAGTGATGGTAGCAAAATGGCGTTGAGATGTTGATGAAACTTTGGTGGTGGTCAGTGTTCACGGTGGCCAGCAGTGGTGATTCTCCTATTATCAGCAATTTTCATTCAAATGTAACAGTAAGTAATACATGGGTGTATCAAATGTCAATTATGAAGAATTACATATTAAAAAATTAGTCCAGTTTCTTGCCAGTGGCATGCTTTTGTGTCTGTACAACTAACATTCTTGTTCATAAATGAGAGTTTTTGAGCCATACTCTCTTCGCATACCTTCTGATTCTTCAACGACCTTGATCAAATAGAAATGGTAAACAATTGCAGTTTGCTAATGTACTAATGTCTTGGCAGCTAACAATTTCACATGTAACCGATGAGCAGAAGCGCAACTAAGTGAACGATTATGCATGCCCATGAATATACTTTGTTGGGGAAAGAATGCTGGATCCTGATGAGCCACTCCTACATCCGCAGTCTGGTGCGCTGGTAGGGTAATCCCACCCTAAAAGAGCTTATGAGAAGAATTCTCTCTTGATGATTTCATTCAATGTTCTGTACGATATTTATACATGTTGTATGTGTACAGATAAGAACAGAGTAAGAGATAAATACAGGGGTAAGGATAAATACAAGATAAGAGATAAATACAAGAGAAGAGATGAGTGTAATTGGTTGCAACAGTGTAGGAGTTTGTTCTTATCTCAAATACTGGGTAACTGATTACACTAGCACACCCATTTGAGAGACATATTTTCAAATGTAATGCAAATTCAAAATGGACAATCAACTTGTTTGGACCTTCCTGACAATGTCAGATGCTGCTTCTTAATTAGATCTTTTGATCTTCGGATTCTCCTATATTGGATGTTCTGGATCCTTTGATTTTGACCAGATATATAGCTGGCATCTTTATGCATGCAATAGGGTATAAAGTTATCACCTGTTGTATTGTATCTTCAGGGGATACACATCTAAATTAAAGCCTGATTTGAATTGGGGAACATTTAACTTTTAAATTGATTGAATACCTTAATCTCTCTGCATAACATCAGTTTAGAAAATAGAAACCTATACTCCATTCAAAAGTCAAAACCTAACACATCCCTTCCCATGCTAAAATGCTCCTCAGCCTCTCTCTCTCTCCCCGTTCAACAAGTATATATTCGTGGACAATCTTGATCGTCACCGAAAGCCAAAACCGAGTTACGCTTGTATTCTGCACTGCAGTACTTGGAGCTTCTCTAGGAGTCTAGCTAGGACAGAGCAACTACGGAATCTCTTCTAGTCTGTAATCCGCTACAATATAATATGGGTAGTATGTGCAAGGGGATGGACGATGCGATCTTCCTCCAACAGACAGACATTTAGAAACTGTAATGTAAGAGAGTTTCCTTCAATTTTGAGCCTACTGGAAAAAGTCAATTTTTGGACAAATATTATATAAGCCTATTTTCGGCTTTTCGGACTTTCCGGCTTTCATGCATGGCTCATGCAACGCCAGAAGCCACTGTCCGAAAGCCGGCCCCATTAAACGGGCACTTCGATCAATAGCTGAGGCATCAACGTCTAAAGCCAGTTGGAAACCTTTCAAGAAACTCAACAACTTCCACTTAACTGAGAAGAACTGAACCTCCTTAGCTCTATCATGGCAAAGAAAAAAACACCCTGAAGATATCTGATAATGACCCCCCCCCCCCCACTTCTGCACCTTCACGACTCCATCAACATTGATCTTTCACCTTTGTACTAATTGGAGGAGATGATATCACATCAACTATGCATAATAATGAGTGATAATGAGTGATTGAATGTATTCACAGCATCCTTTCTTTCCAGGAAAGTCAAAAGAAACTTTAGGGCTATGACCAAGGACCGAGGAATGTGCACACCTAACTAGAGGTGTAAAACGGGCCGTGCCGTGCCGGCCCGGGGGCCATCCCAAGCCGTGCCACCTCCCAGGGATAACTTGGGGGTCAGCCCGGCACGACTCACGGCCCAGGCCCGTGCCATGCCATGCCATGTTAAGGACCGGGCTGGCTCGTGGGCTGAGCCTTGGGCCAGGTCGGACCATGCATCAGGCCAAAGTTATTTATTTAAAAAAATTGACAAAAATTTTAAAATTTTAATTTTATATGAATTTTGATGTATAAAATTGCTTATACAATAATTAAATAAATTAGTATAATAAAATTAAAAAAAAATATTTATTTTATTAATACATTATATATTATATATTTATAATTTATATAATATTATATAAATATATAAAATATATATAAATAATATATATGGGTCGTGCCACGAGCCGTGTTGGACCAGGCTACAGGCTAGGCCATGCCGGCATGTGGGCCACGGGCAACACAGCCTGCTCGATCATGTTGTGCCGGCCTGGCCTATAGACCTAAAACCCCAGGCCCAGCATGGCTTGCACGATCGTGTCAGTCTTAGCACGGCCCATGGACCGTCGTGCTAGGCTGGTCCAAATTTGTGCCGAGCCACGGGCGGCACAACCCATTTTACACCTCTACACCTAACCTTGCCATTATTCAAGTCTTTTCAAATAATAGTAGCGGTTATTTGTTCCATGCACATGTTTCTATTTAAAAATACAGGGAAAAATATCAAGTAAGAGTGATTCAAAATTTTTATATATTTCTAGTTCTTTACATATAAAATAGTAGAAAAGAAAAGTTATTTTTTAGTTATTGGGCTTCAAATTTTCCTTTTATATAACTTATATACTATGAGAAGTATATAAATCGAACTGCTTAGCATGAGAATCAACTAATGGTGCTTAGCATAAGAATAATAACCAAGCTAGGAAAATAAGTTCAAAATTGAATGGACATAGATAACCAAAGGCCCATATTAAGTGCTTTCTTGCTGCATTTTATTATTGAACTAAATAATAAAATGGCCCTTAACCCTTACTTTATTAGAGAGAGGCAAAAAGGACTTTTAAAGATTAAGAGGAAAAAGAGGGATTTAACAGGAAGGGGCTATGTGCCTTAGTGAGAGAGAGAGAGGTTAAAGAATGATATTATTGGAGAGAAAATATGGATTTTATGAGAGGCAATGTGATGCACCCATTGGGCTTCCGGGGTTCAAAAGTTAGGGATGCAACCTGGTGTTAGTTAACCTAAAATCCACCTGGCCTAACTAGATTTTGGGCTCAGTTGCATTGGGATTTTCACTTTTCTTGCTTTTTATAAATTGTGTTGGTGAAAATGGGATTCAACACAACTCAGATTTTTTTTGGGTAAATTATCTAGGGAGAATGACAGTTCAGCCCAGGGTCAGAATTTATAGGCTCAAAGTACATTTGGGGTAAGTGTCAGCTCGGAATTGATTGTCAATTTACGGGCAGATATGGGTGCATAGAGTGTGAGTTTTTGACCTTTTGAATGTTTATAATTCTGCAATGAAAATCAGAAATCTATGTTGGGCCTATCTGTACATCTCCAAATTATCTATTACTATCCTGTAATTTGGGGGTAGTGGCCATTAATAATCCACTGAATTTTTTCATTTGCGACAAAGACACCCCATGAACTTTTAAATTCTGGCAAAGGCCACCCTCCATTAGCACTCGGTCAGATAATTTTGAAAAAAGTCTTATGTGACTGTTTAAACTTTTTTAAATCCCCATAATTACCCTTATTGGGGTTTAGTTTTGAATTTTTTTCCATTTGTTATATATTTATTTAGTTGATATTAGTTACACGTGTTACAATTCTAGGTTTAGTAGAAGTTTAATTCTTGTTTATTTATTTTTTATTGCAATTTCCATTTTATAGAAGTTTGTTAGGTTGGTATTTTGGTAAATTAACTTCTTCCATCACTGGAATTAACGGAGGGGGGGGGGGGTATTTGTCAGAACCTAAAAGTTTAAGGGGTCTTTGCTGCAAATGAAAGTTCATGGGATAATTGCTACTACCCTAAACTACAGGGTAATAATCTGTAATTTACCTTTTTAGTTGACAAATTCGTGATTTAAATTATCAAAAAGGGTGGACACAATGGATATTAAAAAAGAAAACACCATCAAAGGTGTAGAGTATCAAAAATGATTTTAAGAGAGACACTTTGAAAACATATGGATACGGGCATACGGTAGAAATAGGTAGATCAACTAAAATATGCTCATATGCATGGATTTGTTGTGGATATTCAAAAAAAAAAAAATCCCAAAAATATATTAATAAACTGAGACTAATGGTCAAATGATTATATACACTTAGTAAAATACTTTTACAGTTTATGTCAAGTGTAAAATATGTGGATACACTTAAAAAAAAAAATTAAAACATTGGAAAATCATTTACTTAGATTATGCTGTAGAACAAGTTGCTAAAAGGTTCTTGGATGCACATGATGATCGGAAGAAGAAGAAGAAGAAGAAGAACAAGATAGAGAGGCCCAAGTAAATGTCAACATTTCAACAACCTTAACTTTTGATGTAGGCATTTGTTTTTGGGATGTAATATGCCAAAATGGTTTCTTGACGGGCTTTATGCATTGGTAAATATATCTTTTATATTCATTTTTTGGGAAATAAGTGGGGGTAAAGTTGGTCGATGAGAAAGTAATTCCTATTGACCAACTTTACAGTGTTTTTTTTCCCGGCAAATCTGGGCCCTACAGTAAAGTTAGTTTTCTTGAATATCACTTGCATTTCCACCTGAAAGTAAAGTTTACAAAACATAATAGGACATATTTGCTCATTCTAACATTAGCTTTTTATGGATAAAAAAATAATTATATAATTTATATATAATAAGCTTTAATTTGCATATTTTGAGTTCATGAAACCTTATTTATTAAAATATAATGTTTTGACATGTCTGAATCCATTTAGGAATTTTACTAATTTTAGTAACCTTATTATTTTGGGAAAATTGGGAATTGGCCATAAACAGGCCAATGTGCAAGATCAATTCAGGTCTTGTTCACAAAACATGGATATAATAAGTTTTGTGATTAATTCAGATGAATCTGAAATTTTAAAGCTTGATTTAATTTGAAACTTGAAAATTGTGCCTAAATTAGTTTACTAATTCAATGCCCCAGAATTCATTGTTGGAGGCAGGATATCATTGAGAGAGGGAGAGTTCCCCTCTGAGATTGCTAATGCAATGCCATCGTTAACATGAGGCGCCCTTCTAACGTGAGTAATGCTGGGAATACATCTGAGCGGCAATTAGGGGTGTCAATGGACTGGTTTTGGTTTGGACCTGTTTAAATTAAAATCAATTTGGACATATTGGATGGACCAATAAGACATATTGAAATGGACCAAAATATTTATTCGATTGGATTGGACGTAATCCATTTGTTATGGATTCATATTATATCCAATCTATTGATAAAAGAAAAAAAAAAAAAAAGAATACAAATGTCAATGAATCAGGTTTTGATTGGAATAAATCTATAATAAAATCAATTTGGACCTGGTCCATTTGTAATGGGCTCATATTGAACCAGATTGGATTGGACCAATGCCCATCTAGCTTATGGAGATGTCCCCTGGCGGGTCTTCTGGCGTTATAAAAATATTCTACCCTGGGTCCATTGTTCCTCTGGAGATGTATTAACAGAAATGTCCCGGTTAAGAGTTCTTTGGCAAGAAGAAACAAGAACATTGATACTACCTGCAGTGTTTGTGTTAAGGATGAGGAGATTCTTGACCATATTCTATTCCAGTGTGAGATATATAAACGGGTTTGACTGGATTCTCCGTTGGGCCCTCGTATAGAGATGCACCCGGATCCGGATTGGACTATAGTTGCTAGATTGGCTTACCCATTGGAACCT